TGTAGTCTCACCACCATCGTCTCCTGTCTGCACTTTGGGAAGAAGGGGGATTCAAACTGTATTTTTTTCCTCCACTGTCAGAAAAGTGGAGAAGTGTAGAGTCCTGCCTTGGGCAGGTGAAAGGAGGGTAAGAGGTCAAAGAGAGAGATTTTGTTTCCTATAGCCTGCTTCTGAGGCCTAAAATGCTCCAACACTGAAGCAAAAAGACTGTAACACGGGCTATGGGAGTTATGAGCCAGGAACTGTGGGTGAAACCCAATTTGTGTATACATCATAATATCGCACCCCCTGATCGATTTCTTTCTTCCCTTTACCTCTCCATAGTCATTTCTCCACACATTGTGATTTTGTTAAAACACAGAGTTGAGATCATGTCTCTCCTCTGCTCAAAACTCTCAATAGATAAAAACATCATTTTCACCATGGCCTAGAAAACCCTACATGACCCTGATCCTTGTTTTCTGCCCTTAGCTCCAAGACTTTGCTCCAGCCACCCTGGCCTCCTCCAAGTTCTCAAGCACACCAGGAGAGCACCTGTCTCAGGGCCTTGCAACTTTCCGTTCTCTGTGCTGGGAACGATCCCTTTCCAAGTACAAGCGTCACATACTCCCTCTCTTCAACTTGAACATCACTTCCTCAGGGAGGTCTTCCATGGTTTTTCTTCTGAAGTCTGACTTTGCCTGTCTCCATGCCACCACTCATCATGCTTCCCCCTCTGTTTTTCTCTGTAGCACCCACACTTACTTACCATATTTATTTTGCTAGGCATTGGGATTTGGTCCACCTTCTAGCGCCTCTGTGACATCTTGGATGGTCCAATGACCTGCAAGCTCCTTACCCTGAATTATTTCCTCTCTGCCTGATTGGAGCTTTTGAACTTCTTTTGACTCACTAAATCAGGCGTCCTCAAACAATGGCCCGTGGGCCACATGCAGCCCACCTAGGACATTTATCCAGCCTGCCAGGTGTTTTTGCCACTGCTGCCTGTCCTGCTTAGCAGCTGACTTGTCCCAGGGCCTGCAGTCTGGCCCTCCAACAGTCTGAGGGACAGTGAACTGGCCCCCTATTTAAAAAGTTTGGGGACCCCTGCACTAAATAATCTCACTCTTAACTAGGGGAAGAAAAGTCTGGACACACCTGAACACACCTGATCTCATCTGACCTTGGAAGTTAAGCAGGGTTGGGCCTCATTCCTATTTGGATGGGAATTGCCTGGAAATATCGGGTGCTGTAGCCTTTACTCCATGGCCATACCATTGACTGTGCCTGATTTCAGAAGTGTGGTTCAATGATGCTGGGGTCCTACTTACCCTGGTATTGAATCTATTTTGAGATTTTACTTTGTTCTCCTTGCAAATTCCTATTTTGTGCCCTGTTCCGATACCTATGTCTCTGTTGCCTTCCTTGACCAGGTCCCTAGCCTGCATCTGAAATTTCAGATTGCTGTAAAGGAATTTGGAGATAATCTTGGCCCACTGGTCATTTTGTTGAAAAGCTGAGGTACAAGGCAAGAAGGAACTTGTTCAAGTTCATACTCTATATTAAGTTCATTCACAAATTTATTCAAAGTACACTATGTGCCAGGTATTTTACTAGGTACAGTGGATAAAGAAGTGTGAATAATGCACAATTACTCCCAGGCTTGAGAACTTCGCAGTCTAATGGAGAATTTATATTACAGACAGTTAAAAGATTACATACAAAATATTAGTAATATAGAAATGGTCAGGATGGGCAGAAGAAGGAACTGAACCAACATGAATGAAGTGTTAAAAGCAGACAGAGGAGTGGGCAAGAAAAGAGGGACAGGATGGACACTTTGTCCACTTAAAACTTGCAGCATTTAAAAAGGCAAATCATTCATTCAACCAAAATGTCCTGGATGTTTACTATGTTCAAACTTTTGTATCTTGCTATGAAGATACAAAAGAATTTGGTATCTTACAAAAGCTCTTTGGTAAGATAGTTGGTGTCTTAAGACCAAATGAGATCACAGACTTCTAAGGTTGGCCAATAACTTTCCAAAGTCAAGTCCCTGACCAGTTAAGCCACCCAATTTCAAAGCAATGGAAATTTGTTTCACAGCTCCTTCTCTCTTTAGGGACACAGCAAGTTAAGAGTACTGTTGTATGAACTGGCAGTGATTCTGAGCCACCAGATTAGAGGCCTCACATTATTGCGAACCCTGGCACATGTTTCACCTTCAGAGTGCTCTGATGTCCTTGGAATGGGCAGGTGATATTTGTTCTTACCAAATCAACCAAGAAGCTCCAATTAGAGCCAGCAGGTGCTGGGTCCTTTAACCTTTCAGGGGACCACCTTGGCCTTTCATGGTCACTTAGTCAGGAGTTGGTAAGCAGCTGTGCAAGGATATCTTATGGAAAAAACTGGTAGTCAGAGTGGAGTGTGGGCACAGGACCCAGTGCCCAGGGCCCATCCTGGCTGGCTGCACATCACACCCAGTTTCCAGCTTCTCTCTGGTAACAGAAGTAGACACAAGAGACCATAAACTCTGCAAGAGAATGATCTCTCCTTTGTGGGCTGCGTAGTTTCCTTTGGGGACTGTTTCTTGTTTTCCTGTAAGGAAGAGTTGGAATATAGCAGAGCTGCTTTGATACCTACATTCAACACATGTAAGAGCTTTGGCATCTCATCCTCTACCGAATTCCTTCCTTCGTATTTCAAGGAAATGCTGCCCATAGCTTTAATAAGGTGGGGATTAAGAATTAATTGTTGGATTTAGCTATGTGGTCTTTGGCGACCTTGACAATGGTAGTTGCAGTGGAGTGGTGGAGGCCAAAGCTAGTTGGAATAGGTTTCAAGAGATCATAGGAAGGTGTTCTGAGGAGCACAAACGGAGCAGAGAACTAGAATACACATGGAGGAAGACATGGGGTTAAGAGTGACTTTTTTAAGATGGAAGAAATCACAATGTACTTATGTGCTGGTTTGAATGTTCCAGTAGAGGCAAAGCTGACGGTGGAGGAAAGAAGGGGGATATTGCTAAAGAGATGTTCTTGAGCAAGAAAGAAGACAGGAACGTTTAGTGATGTGCTAGAGCTGGTGTCCAACACAGCTGTTATCATATATTAAATTATATCAATTTACACCTACATACATTTTATATTTATTTTTTGAGACAGAGTCTCACTTTGCTGCCCTCAGTAGAGTACCACTGCATCACAGCTCCCAGCAACCTCAAACTTTTGGGTTCAAGTGATTTTCTTGCCTCAGCCTTCCAAGTAGCTGGGATTACAGGCACCTGCCACAATGCCTGGCTATTTTTAGAGAGGAGGTCTCTCTCTGGATCACGCTGGTCTCCAACCTGTGAGCTTAAGCAATCCACCTTCCTCGGCCTCCCAAGTGCTGGGATTACAGGCGTGAGTCACCATGCCTGACCTAATACATTATAAGAGTGATAAATATTCACAACTAATCCCTTCCTAATAATATGTTACTACATTTTTCATTCTTATCTTGTGGTTCTTTATGGCCACTGTCTGTGCATGGTGGAAATGGAATGCAAGATGATGGCTGCTCCTGGGCTTCTCTTCCTGACTTCAGTCACTGGATGTCCCTTAGTTACCCATTTGTGTTTAGTGACATCATGCTGATAGCTTTAAACCTGACAGGAGTATTTACACAGCAGAAATCAGGATCTCTTGCAAATCAGGGCCTTGTGTCATTTGTTTTTTAAAGGAGAGCTGTTAAACATTTGCCAGCCCAACTCAGGATTCCGTGGACAAGGATTGGGACCTAAACTAAGTGCTGAAAGTTCACCCACAGGCACAGGAGGGAAGGCTGGGTATTTAGACTGGCGTGTAGATAGATGTGGCAGAGAGACGTTACTCATTTACTAAGTGGAAAAAGAAGCAAGGTAATGAATGACTTAACTGTAAGACTAGGAAAAGGGGCATTGGAGGTTTGAGGTGAACAGAGTAAGGCAGGAGGATGGTGAGTAGATTAGAGAAATTTAGCATTTTAGTAGTGTATTTGACACCATTGAAAATCTCCTGGAGGTTAGTGGTTGTCAATTGAGAAGCGGGTGGATTTCCTCTCCAGCCTTTCACTTGCTGGAGTGAAGCGGGAGGAGAGCTAGATTTCTTCCAGGCTAGGGTGTGGCCAGACCAGGGGCTAGCAAGAGAGACTATAAAATCATAAATGCTGAAGTCACCACTTCAGAGACCTTCTATGTTCATCCCAGCTAAAATTATGCCCTAGGTCCAGTAACTTTAACCAACTATTCTGTTTCTTTTCCTATCTTGCTGATTGGGTTGTTAAATCTGGCTCATCCATCCTGCTGAATCCCCCACCCTGCCCAATGCTTGGGGCACAGTGGGTGCTCAGTAATGTTGAGTAATTTATTGCATAAATCTACTGACCTTCTTACCTCTGTACGGTGGAGCAAAGAACACGCATTCTTTTTGTATCCTTTGGTTCCTCGTTCCATAGTGTTTAAACTTTCATGAGTAAAGGAACTTCCCTACGCAGCTGGATACTCTAAACCACCGTTCTTTGTTTCCTGAGGTCCAAACTCAAGCCTCAGAGCCAGCTGTCCCGCGGTCGGTCGGTGAGTAAAGCTGACCTTTGTCACTCTGGAGTTTACTTGTTAGTACTTTTTTACTCCAGTGCTGGAGACAGCAGTTTAGGACTCAGTCTGTGACTCCAGATGACATAAAAGGACAAGCCCAAGTCCAAGGATCCCAGGGTGTAGCGCCGTGGCTCGCCGGCTGGGAAACTTCTATGGGTGGGCGTGGCCAAGAGGTGACAGCCGCGCCTCCCAGGGCCTGGGGCTGTGACCGCCCAGGGGACGCTCAGGCGGCGCTCCGGGCTTCCCACGCCCTGCACCTCCACCCCCTTCCCCTCCCCGGACATTGGCTGAAGGGGGCGTGGGCGGGGCCAACTGTGTGTTTCTCCCGATGGCCAATAAAGTTCGGAAAGTTTGAAAAAGGGGAGGGAAAAGTGCACGCCCGCGGCTGCGGCTGGGATGCCCGCGGGCCGCGGCCGAGCTGGGGCCGCAGTGCGCTGGGGAAGGCGTGGCGGGCGCGCGGGGCTGCGGCGCGCGGGATGGGGGTCACGGTGGACGTGCGCCAGGTGTACAAGTATCCCTTCGAGCAGGTGGTCGCCAGCTTCCTCCGAAAGGTACCGGGACCCCCGCGGCCCTTCCGGGGCTTGCCTTCTCCCACACCCACTGCCTGCTGCTCTCTTCTTTCTGTCCGCGAGGAAATCCACCCCCCCGCCCCCCCAGCTCTCCCTCCGGCCGCGGGGTTGGCAGTAGGGATGCGTGGGACGAGGGTGGAGGTGGTTTCCTCGAAGTCTCCCCTTCCAGGGTGAGGGGCAGGGCGCCGTGCTTGGCATCACGTCCACAGCCTGCCCCAGCGGAAGAGAGAGGCTTTTAGAAAGTGCCTCCGAGAAACCGAGTTCTCCTCGGAGCCCTGCTGTGGTTGCAGACGGCCGGTGCATCTTTCTAGTTCATTGTCGACCCGTTCCAAGCTAGTGGAGGCCGTCGAAGCCATCGGCCTGGGTTACTGTGCCTCGTCAGTCTACTTACTGCCCCTCTACTTTCTCTTTTTTGTTAGACAGCTGTGGGACTGGGCAGGTTACCTACACTGTCTGTGCCTCAGTTTGGTAGCTTGTAGGATGCGGAAAGTAAGGGTACCAAACTCATAGGGTGGTTGTGAGGATCCAAATGAGATAGATAATTCGTATAAGGTGTTAACACAGCTGTCGACCTAAAGGAAAAAAAAAAAAAACAACCAGACAAAATGAACTTAAGTAGAGGGTTTATTTGGAACAAATTTGAGGATTGCAACCTTGAAGCGTAGATCCAAGTAGCTCTGATTAGCAGCAGTTACAAATGGGTTTTAAAAGGAAAAGCCGAGGCAGTTCCTAAGTTGTTTACCAACAATTTACATTAAAATAACAAGTTTTGACTGGCTCTACATTGTTTTTTGTATTGCGAACTCCAGGCACTGAAGATAATAAGGGAGGCAACAGTTGCCACCAGGGGTGGGAGGGCATGTGAGATGGAAGTCCCCTACTCCTGTCTCTCTGAGACAGACAGTTTGCAGACCTCAGGATACTCACACAGTTCAGACTGCTCTGAGCTATTTTTCTTTTCTCACAAAGTCTGATGTTAGGGGGCAGTGCCTGTGGCTCAAGGAGTAGGGGGCTGGCCCCAAATACCAGGGGTAGCAGGTTCAAGCGTGGCCCTGGCCCAAACTGGAAAAAAATAAAAGGCTGATGTTAGTAAGGGTTCTAAAAGATTGTTGTTTGTATTACTACAACTGATTTCAATACAAACATTGAATCCTGGCCTGAAATACTCAGTGGTCTTCTGCTTTTAGTGATACTGGAATTTCGCTCTTCACTAGGTCCTTGGTCTTAGGGATTCGAAGAATGAACCCACGGACCACAGATCAGTGGTAAGATAGGACTTTTATTAGAAGTTAGAAAGGAATACAGAAAAAGTAAAAAGCACCAGAGCTTCTGGAAGGGGGAAAGAACTGAAGGACTCTCCACGTGGGCTCTTTTATCTAGGGTGTTAGGTCTAGAGGATTATACTTGGCTGGTAGTTGGTAGGTGAAAATGAGTGCATTACAAATGAATGAAGGTAGTTATCACGTCCTTTACAGTCTTTGTCCCTGAGAAGGGATTAGGGTGTGTGCTCCTACCCAAGGTGGAACCACTCAAAAAACCATCACAGGCTGCTTTGTTTATGATGGAAATGGGGGTCTGACTTCTGAGCTCCCCTGGGCCTAGAGAATGGGGGACTCCCTCTCTAGCCCTGAGTGGTGGGATCCTGTATCTCCTGTAAATGGAAGATTTCTTTGAAAAGTCAAGATCACCCGGACCTAAGAGGTGGTACTTGTGGACTCTGGAGTGGCTTTTTGTTTGGTTAGTTCTATGAGTGACCTTGGCCATGGGTCTTCTTTCCAGGCTTTCCTTTCTGCATCTGTAAGATGAGGGTATTGTCTCAGAAGCTCGTAAATTCTCTTTCAGCATTCATATTCTTAAGCAGGATTTGCAAAAGTTGCAATTTGGCTTGGGCAGCAGCCACTGGATATTGAACTTGGTATGGTATGCAAGCTGGAAGCCCAGCCAAGCGAGCTGGGGGAAATGAAGGGTATTTGTTAAATGGAAAGGCCTGGCCACCATAAGAGGCAGTGACACAGTGGAGTGAGAAGGGCACTAGTTAATGTGGTGTTGCTATGGAGGCCTTTTTCAGAGGGAACGTCAGTTTGTTGATACTGTTCATTGATTTTCAGTATCTAGAATAGTGCCTAGCATCTTCTAGAGATTTGAAAATCTGATGAATGAATAAATGATGAAATAATGAATTATGGATCTGATGTAGTGTTTTGCCTCAGGCCAGGTTTCTGTGCCCAAAGAAGTAAGTCAATACCCCATTTTTTGTTAGGATAGGCACACTGGTGTATAGAGTCCATAATGCAACTGCTCTTTTGGAAAGTCTGGATTGTCATCAGCATGAGGCTGTCCTTGCCTTTTCAGAACTTACAGGGCACTCTATCTAGGTCTCACTGACTTTCTACAGTGTTAGATGGTTACTTTTGTATGTGCCTTGTTCCTCCATTGGACTAAGCTTTTTTTTATTTTTGAAACATAGTCTCATTTTGTTGCCCTTGGTGGAGTGCTGTGGTGTCATAGCTCAAACTTCTGGACTCAAGTGATTCTCTTGCCTCAGCCTCCCCAAGTAGCTGGGACTACAGGTACTGCCAGAACGCCTGGCTATTTTTAGAGATGGGGGTCTCACTCTTGCTCAGGCAGGTCTTGAATCAGTGAGCTTAGGCAATCCACCCACCTTGACCTTCCAGAGTGCTAGGATTACAGGCCTGAGCCACCATGCCTGGCCTTTTTCTTTTTTTGAGACAGAGTCTTACTTTGTTGCCCTCAGTAGAGTGCTCTGGCATCATAGCTCACAGTAACCTCAAACTCTTGGGCTCAAGTGATCCTCTTGCCTCAGCCTCCCAAGTAGCTGGGACTACAGGCATCTACCACTGTGCCTGGCTATTCTTTTTAAAGATGGGGTCTTGCTCTTGCTCAGGCTGGTCTTGAACTTCTGAGTTCAATCTATCTACCTACCTCGGCCTCCTAGCGTGCTCAGGTTATAGATGTGAGCTACCGTGCCTGGCCTCTAAGCTTTTTGAAGGCTGGACTTATTTCAGCAGAAACCCACAGGACATTGCCAAGCTCTTTTTATAGAATACTCAGCATATGTCAGCTTTAAATGATAGCTGGTAAATGCTTTTTTTTTTTTTTTCATTCATTCTGTTACAGATATTTACCTTTGGTATGCTAGGGCTCTGTGCTAGGTGCTAGAAAAATAGGGCACCACAGGCAGACCCTCTTCTCAGGACCTGATGGTCTTTAGTGGGTGAGACTGACACTAATAAATGATGAACATGTGAACATGTAATGCCCATTGATGATATGTACTTACACAGGAAAATACAGGGAGGCCTGTTGAAGTCCAAGAGGGTGGTCTTTAGGAAAGGTTTCCCTGAAGAAGGGGCATTTGTGAAGTGATGGATGACATATGAATGGGAATTTCCTAGACAAGCCAGGTGTGTGTGGCATGTGCACACTTGTGTGTGTGGCGTGCGTGTGCTTACCATACTGGATCATGTTTACTCCTCCCAGGAGCATGAGGAAGAAGTTATGATTGACTTTCTTTGTACAGTATGGAGAAACTGAGGATTGAGAAGTCTAAGCATCTTGTTCACATTCTCACAGCTAGCAGGTAGGAGAGCCAGGGTTTCAATGCATCTGAATCCAAAGCCCACACCCTTAGCCACCAGGCTGTGCTGCATTGCACGTAATAGGCACTCAGATGATTATTGAGGAAGTAAAATTTCAGAATCAACTATGTTGTAATCAACTTCAAGTTATCTGTGGCTATGTAGCAAATCACTCCAAAACTTAGTGGCTTAAACCAGTGGCAGGGTTTTAATTCCTATGATTCTGTGAGCTAAGCTCATCTGGTTGGTCTTTGTGTGCCCTGTGGTATAGCTGAGGTCACTTACATAGCTGCATTCTGCTAGAATCTGGAATAATTTTTTTTTTTGAGACAGAGCCTCAAATTGTCGCCCTGGGTAGAGTGCCGTGGTGTCACAGCTCACACCAACCTCCAACTCCTGGGCTCAAGCGAGTCTCTTGCCTCTGCCTCCCAAGTAGCTAGGACTACAGGCGCCCACCACAACACATGGCTATTTTTTGGTAGCAGCCATCATTGTTGTTTAGTGGGCCTGGGCTGGATTCGAACCCGCTACCTCAGGTGTATGTGGCTGGCGCCTTAGCTGCTTGAGCCACAGGTGCCGAGCCAGAATCTGGCATAATTTTTATAAAATACTTAACACAGGACCTGGCATATAGTTCTGAATAAGAACTTAGGAAGATATTTTGGAAGATAAGAATGGTGAAAGGAGAAGCAAACATTTGCAGACTGAAGGTCTAGCAAGGACGGTGTTAACATCGTGGACGATACTGTATTTCTTTTCTTTATGTTAACATCGTGAACGATACAGTATTTCTTTTCTTTCTATTCACTCACAAAGCAAAGCATCAGAGATTCTCTGAGAGGATCTGTATGACTGTAAGCTGTCAATAAATCCATTTTCTGGGCAAATTTTTACTTTTTATTTATTATTTAAAGCCATGAAGTGGAAGGTAGTAGACCTGGATTCTGATCATTGTCCTTTCACTGTTGGTTGGGGTGGCCACAGGAGACAGTATTCACTGTCCTATGTTGCACTGTCCTTGTGCAAATTAGAAAAGGCATCCTTTAGGGGGTCTGCCCCTTGAGCTCACAGTACATAGGGCTAGTGGAAAATAAATGGGGTTATTTATGCAAATTAGAAAAAGATGCATTTTCGTCTAGGTTGATGTAGCCCTTGGCCCATTTGCCTACTTGACTGGGATGCCTTGTGCAGTGAGCAACATACACAACTGTATAAGACAGCCCTAGTCTTTCACCTGTGAAATGGTAATGCTGTCTACGTCACCTGCCTCCCAGGGTTTGTGGAAACATCAAATGTGTCCCAGTTTGAAAAGCTGTTTTATAAGCCTAAGGTAGTAAGAATTATCTTTTTGGCAAAATATTTGTCTTTTAGTCTCTCTCTCTC